ACAGCAAAGCAGAGGATATCCTAGCCAAGAAAAGAATGGCATAGGTGCTGAAAGGAATTAAGCAATGGAAGAGCAAAACTGCTGAAAGATGAGGATGTCAGAGCAATTAACTGAGTGTTGTGAGCATAGGTGTGTTCTAAAACATTTTTTGAGTGCACAGCACAGAATTTGACAATGAACCGCATGGCTGAGCAATTGATGATGCAATGCATGATGTGAGACCACACATGGGCAGAGTGTGGACATAGCAGTGACAAGGAGGACATGGCATGACAAGGAGGGTAAGGTGAGACAACGAGCACAAGGTAAGTTTGGTTAGCACAGGTTAAGGTTGGCTTTTGTTGATAAAATAACCCTAGACATGGAAACATGAGGTCTCCCTAAACCCATAACACATGAAAGACGAACGCAAGAGAGAGAAGACATGGTAAAACAAGGTGGACATGGTAAGTTTGATTGGCCTTAGTTAGGGTTGGCTTTTGTTAACTAGTTCACCCTACATACCAAAGAATAGATCAACGAAACACAGAGAAAACAAGGAAAGACAAGGAGGACTAGATAATTTTGGTTGGCCTTGAATAGGGTTGGCTGTTGTTAGTTAGTTATCCCTAGAGATGGAAACATAATGTTGGCCTTACATACCCAAAGAAAAGATCAACAAATGGTAGAAAAGACATGGTAAGACAAGGAGGACTAGTTTAGTGTGATTGGCCAAAGTTAAGGGTGGCTTATGTTCATTTACGATTCCATATACATGTAGTGTCTGTTCCCTGGTTGGATTCTGTTGCATACACATGGCGTAAAAGGCATAAATGAGATATTTCGCTTGGGAAATATAGGCCGCACATGGACGAGGTTTGAGGGACATGTGTCGCACGGGTGTGGGGGATGGTGTGGTGGTCGATGTCTGCTGTGAGAGTACGACCACCTTACACTTCTTTCTCATTTCCATCTTTTTCCTCTATCTCATTCTTCTTTTTATCCTTTGCCGTAATCTTACCGTAATCCATTCATTTCCATTCCTTTGATCTTTATCTCATCCCATTTGGTTTCCTATTCCTCCTTTCTCATTATCCTTTAGATTATCCTATTATTATAATTATATCACCGACCAGGCTCGGGATGTATTGGCGCGCTATATCTAGCGTCATCTTGCCGTAATCCCTTAAAGCCAATAGCGTCGCGTGACTATACGCACGGTGATTTTATTTCTAGAAGGGTTTATTCCCTTTGGATAGGATAAATATGGTTACCTAATGTACCTCGGAAGTATAAAAGTGCCTTGTATCAATCGATAGTGCAACTTTTCCTCGACACATTCGATCCAATAACACTTTGTATCAGAGCCTTTCTCACTCAGCCGCGCTCAGCTAGGCAGAAGCAGCGGGAAAACTTGCCTCGAAAAACCGTCGGGGGCGACTAATTCGGTGTCGATTCTAGTAAGCACCAGCTCCGCGTTTTTTTAATTAACCCCTCCGCGCGTGTTTTGAACAGGATGGCAAACTTTGACAACGCTGAGGTTATCCAGCAGCTCTTCGCGAGCATTGCCGCCCTTCAGGAGGAGATGCGAGCCGATCGCGAAGCATGGCGAAGTGAGTTCGAGCAAGTAACTCGACTCGCCGGCGCACAGCACAAAACGACAACGGCGATGACGCAACAGCCGCAGCAGTTTCTTGAGGCTCCAAAACCGTGCCCACCTGAGCCATTTAGTCCAAGCGATCGAAATTCCGACGTCCGCATATGGATCGCCGGCATGGAGATCTACTTCGCAGCTGTCGGATGGAGCTGGTCAGTCTAGGACGGTCAACGCGTACGACTCGCGGCGACGCTGATGCGAGGGCCGGCACTCGAGTGGATCGGCGGCAACAGTACTTTCATCCAAGGCGAAGCCACGTGGCAGCAGTTCCGCACCGACCTGCTGAAACGTTTTGAGCCGATAAATTCGGGATTCCGTGCCCGGGAAAAGAAACATCGCCATTCGACAGTTGGGAAGTGTAGCACAGTACACGCAACAGATGGAAGAATTTTATATCCGCATTCCTGACCTGACCAAAGGGGAAAAAGTACAGTCGTATCTCGCCGGGCTGAAGACCAAAGTCAAACGACAGGTGGCAGCGACAAATTACGCGAGCTACAGTAACATTGAATCGGCAGTGGAGCGGTTTGACATGGTCAACACCGGAACACGACGGGCGCACGTCGGCAGTACACGACAGGGCGACCGCTCGGCTCACCCCACGTTCACCGACCCGATGGAAATCGACAAGTTCGACGGGCAGTCACGTCCGAAAAACACCGATTACACATGTGATTTTTGCGGGGTGCCGGCCCATCGAATCTTCGACTGCAACAAAATGAAAGCCGCACGAGTGGAGTATCGGGTACGCAACAGTGGCGGAAATTTTTCGGCCAATCAGAAAACAAAAAACGGGATTCGCCAGTGATTGTGGATCTAGCTGGCGAAAAAGAAAATATCCGAAAGCGGCCATGGGATTCCGGGAAATCAACTTCAACGAACCTGATTCGACACGAGCAGGAGGAAATGATTGGGGAAAATCTCCACCCCACGACCAGTCTTCGCCAGGGAAAATCGCCAAGAAAAAATCTGACTCCGCGAAAGAAGACTCTGCAGAGACGAGGAAACTCCTAGAAGACCCAAGAAATAATAAGGATTCGTTAAAGTTTTCTTATAAGGATGCTTTCATGAAAAAATATGATTCTCGAGGGACTAGAGCCTTGGAGAAATTTCGAGAGGGACACTAGAAGAAGCAGAAAACTGTGGAGATCGTACCGGTACCGGAGAACTTGGGGACAAACTTACTAACGTCCTCTCCCAACACCAGCCCACAACGACTCCCCGTTCCCAAGGGAAGACGTCGATGGAGCTGAAGCAGCTCAAGAGGAAGCTGGGGGTCTACAAGAAGCTGCAAAAACCCCGAACTCCTCCTTCGGATGCATCCAGCTCAGCAAATTCGGCATCAACGACACACACAGTCGTCAAGAAAACTCTGGGCCCTGAAGAAGAGCCTTTCTCCAAGCAGCCTCGACCAGCTGCCAGCCCAAGAGTAGATAGCAAGGAAAAGGAGTGTACGGAATATTGGGATGTACCCTATGATCCTATTAGCGAAACCATCTTTGGGTACTCCGAGCAACGCTTGCCCCTCGTGCTCGAGGTCATCTGCAAAGGACGACGCCTCCAATCACTCATGGACAGCGAAGCATCACACACCGCATGCGACAAAGCAGTAATTGACCGACTTCGGGAAGAGTACAAGCCTTCAACATTCTCTGCAACGATGGTGGATGGCAGCAAGTTACTAATATATGGTGAAGCAGTGTTACACCTACAAATCGGACCACTGCGCTGGAAACCTGCACTCCCCATCCCCAACATAAAAGGGTTTGACTTGATCTTCGGGCGAGACTTCCTAAAAAGATTCAACATCGATATCAACTGGGTAAATCGTACCGCAAGCATCTACAACAACGAAAGGAGAGTCGAGCTATACAACTAGGACGATACAAGAGATATCACAATGGAGACACTCGCAAGATTCGAGAAGGATGTAAATCGAACAGACACCGGGTTCCTGGCTATAGCGACAGATGTGGAAAACAACGGAGAGAAAACCTCGGAACCTCCAGAAAAAAACAAGGAATTAGTGAAGGAGTTCCAAGACATTCTTCCCGACGACCTTCCGAACGAGCTGCCGCCATACCGAACTCACCAACACGAGATCGTGGAAGAACCAGGTTTGGAAGTCACAAGAGTGTGGAAGGCATGTCTTTGTGTGAGAGTGCATATTTGCCCATATCCACACCATTGACCCGGTCTTCACCTCTGGATGTTATAAGAACACATGGCGGTTGCACAAAGATTGGCACCAACAAAATCCAGGGCACTGCTTACCCTTTACTCCAAGAGTTGTTGATTAAGGAGGTGCAATTTCGTGGTAGACAAGACAGCAAATGGGCCGCCAAGCCTGGACATATTTTTAATCGAAAGCAGCAGGGTGATGGCGACCATTATTACCGCCTGAGCGCCCCTAGCAATATGTTACAATGGCCTTCACAACCGGTCTGCCAAAGTTGCCACCGAGTAATGTTGCAATCCTCGTCATGGTCGATAGGCTGACCAAGATGGCCTACTACGCCCCCACACCACATCCATCACCGACGAAGAGACTTCTCATCTCTTCATCTCCGACATTGTTTGTTTTCATGGGTTATGAGACGATATTATCTCTGATTGTGACAAAAGGTTTACTTCGAACTTTTGGAGTCGTCTCTTGGAAGAGTTCGGCACGCGACTTTGGTTCTCATCTCCTTCCCACTCTGAAACAGACAATCAATTTGAGCACACCATCCATAACCTCAACCAAATGATTCACGTCAATTGGAGCAGCACCTTGTACTCCTCGATTCCGGTTTCAACAACACCCCATAATTTGACTCTTTTCTCTTATTCATGACTTACAGTCACTCATAACAACATTGATTGGTGGTTCGTAGTGTTCCATTCTGCCTTTTAACATTGTCTGCAGGACGTATTCTACCGCAAAAGTTTCGTTGTGCATGCAACTGAGCTGGCAGCAACAAGGACTCTCAGATCAGACAAGGGACTCGCGTCGCGCGTGACAGGCAGGCGGGTGGAGGACTTCACTCCAGGCTGGGCAAGCTGGGTGCCTCGCCATGTCAAGAAGGTGGTGGTGAAGGTTGAGAGTAGAGTCACCTTGCCAGATTCAGGATGAATCTCCTTGATTTTTTCAGTATACTTAGCTCGCGGTAATTTTCCACCCTGAAACTAGGCGGCAGAAGATTTTTTGTTTCCACCCTCACCATTTCTGAGTGAGTACCCTCTCGACGGCACCCCCTGTGAAAATATTGGGTGTGAAAATACCGCGGGCTACGTGTATTAGGAAGGAGATTCTCCAGCCTAAGAAATGTAGGATACATTACAGGAATACTCCATCAACAATGGCTGTCGTTGCCCCTGCCCGATCGAAACTCTTCGTCACTGAACTCGAAATGGTCGGCTTTCTGCTCACAGTAAAGCATTCCGTTCAAGCAAAGGCAGGGTGAGAGGAGGAATGCGAATACCCTCGGCTCCGCCCCGCACCGAATGGACGACTCTTCCTCTCCCACACTCCGTCTCGAGAACGATGGGGTTCTCGAGAGGCGGGAAACTAGACAGATGGACAGCAGAGCAATCCATCCTTTTTGTCGTCAATGTTCTGCGAGCCGGAAAGCTCATGCGTGTCAGGGAGCGCATGCATGCTCTCGGAGGCTGGGGTTTGGCGGTAAGGGGAAACGGGACGGCCGCGTTAGGCGACGGTGGAGTGCGCCGGACGTCATCTGTGCGGCGTTCACGAGGAGTCCAGTTGGCCTCCTTGAAACAAGCCCTCTGAAGCTGGCGTACGCTACAAAGCTCCGAAATCTGCAGTAGCTCTAACCTGTAGTCTTCACCCCACGGCACAGCTCTCGCTAGTAGTCTTCACCACACGGGAAATCATGGCTCCTGCTGGAGAACCTTCCGACAAGACCTCCACGGGCGGCAAAAGCCAGCCAGGTTTGCCATCTCGAGGCTTCTGCTAAACTTATCCGGTTTCCAGGGGCTGAGCTTGGGTAGTCTGCAATAAATACGGGCATGGCGGGTGTTTTCCAGATGCTGTTGTTGCGGGTGATTCTGTTATTATGTGTGATTTTTGCGGCCTTCATTAACTATCGATTTGCTCTTCTCCCTGTCGTGGCTGATTCCAGGTTCGGAAGAGGACAGGCAAGCGTACTTCGCGAGAAGAGTGCTTCGTCTTTGGACAGGCGGACAAGCCACGACCATACAGGTGATCATTTCCGCTGCTGCTGCCTGCTAGTACCGCGGGCCTGCATCCCCGCCAGTTAACACCCGGTTTCCCACACCAGGCTAAGATCAAGGCAGAGTTTGCTTACAATTGGCAATCTAAGACGATGCCTGAGCAGTGACTCCTAGAGCGTCTCGTCAGTTCTTGCTTAGATGCACGGAGGAATTTGGGAGTAGGAGAAGCTCTCGGTTCCTAGACTGCGTGATTGGAGCCATGGGACATTGAACGGCCAAGGTCTTTACTCGGTGGTTCATCCGAGAAGTCTAGGGTGTAAACGTTGCCTAGAAATTCTCGGTTCGAAAAGGGACTTACTTTGCTGCTGCCTCAGGGCTGTCAGCGAGGGATCATGCGGTCCAGCTGTCAGACATAATCCTATTTCGCAGTAGCACTCTCAGATGCCGTCGATCTAGTCGCCGACTTGTTTGTCCGAAGCCAGCAGGGATGCTTTTCACACCGCGGATCCTTGTCCACACCATTTTGCCGTCTGTTTTCCGCTCTTGTCCACACGCGTTTTCCCCCTCTCTCTATTTTCCCGGCTCTTGGGCACACTCTCTTTCCCTCCCTTTCCTCCATCCCCCCCCTCCCGCATCCCCCACCGCCAGAAGCGGCCTGACATCCGCTCCCAGTGGCTGAGGGAGACGACGCTGGTGACAGCAGTGGTCGTTTTGAGGCGCCTTAAAACGACGTTCCGTCTCCACTGTCCCCTCCGCCCCTTGCCGCCCCACTATGCCCCCACTTATCCGCACCCTCCGCTCCCCGTCCTCCCCACCACCACGAGCTGCTGGACATCCGCGCCCACCGCTCCCAGCGACTGAGGGAGCGGACGGCGGGCGCTGCATGCACACCTGAATGGTCCTTTGTTATTTAAGAGAGAGAGAGTGCATGCACACCTTGCCGTCCACCTCTTGCCCCGCTCCCATCTTTCTCCCCGTCCCCTTCCCCACCCCCCCCCGCCAGGAGCTGCTTGACATCCGCGCCCGCGGTTCCCAGCGGGCTGAGGGAGCGGACACTCACACCTAACCGCCAGTTATGCCCCCTACTCTTTTACCCGCACACTTCACTCCCCATCCCCCATCCCCCCCCCGGCCAGGAGCTGCTGGACATCCGCGCCCACCGCTCCCAGTGGCTGAGGGAGCGGACGCTGGCGACGGCAGTGGGCGTGAGGATAAAGAACGGGCGGTACACGGACCAGCCCGCCATCCTCGCCTTCGTCTCCTCCAAGGTACCCCTCCTACTCTGTCCCTCCTCTGTCCCTCCTCTGTTCCTCCTCTGTTCCTCCTCTGTCCCTCCTCTGTTCCTCCTCTGTTCCTCCTCTGTTCCTCCTCTGTTCCTACTCTGTTCCTCCTCTGTTCCTCCTCTGTTCCTCCTCTGTTCCTCCTCTGTTCCTCCTCTGTTCCTCCTCTGTCCCTCCTCTGTTCCTCCTCTGTTCCTCCTCTGTTCCTCCTCTGTTCCTCCTCTGTTTCATTCCCTCCGTCCCACGTTTCATGCTTCCATGAATCCTTCTGGCAACCGGAGCCGTTTTCTCTTACCTTTCAACACCTGTCCCACCCACCTCACTCTCCCTCTCCCATCCCTCCCCCCTCCTCCCAGGTGCATCCCAACTGGCTGCCTCCGGATCGTCTGCTGCCGCCTCGTCTGGACGGGGAGGGCTCGCTGTGGTGCCACCTGGACGTGCTCGAGTTCGCCTGCCTGCCCGGTGGACAGGTGAGGTGCGGTTGGAGTTGACGTGCAAGTCATCCCCCCCCGTCCTCATCCCCCTCTGCCATTTGCTCGCACCCCCCCACCCTCCCCCTTTTTCGCCTCCCTCCCCTTTCTCTCCCCTTTCCCCCAGCTGTTGCTGGACCATGCGAGGGGCGAGGTGAGCAGCGGCCTCGTGGATGACCAGTCCCCCTTTACTTCTCTTCCCTCCCCTCCCCTCCCCTCCCATCTGCCATTCCCCGTCCCCCCCTCCTTTCCCCAGCCATTGCTGGGCCGTGCGAGGGCGGAGGAGGCGAGGAGCGACCGCGTGGGTGCCCTGCCCTCTTGAACCTCCCTTGGCTCCTCTCACTCTGCCCTGCCTTCTCTCCAATCCCCCCTTCCCCCTCCAGCCATCCGTGGACCGAGCGAGGGCGCAGGAGTTGAGCAGTGACCTCGTGGACGATCTGCGCGGCTGCAGCGCCGTGCTTGGGCCGGGCTCGCAGGTGGGTTAATCTGGTATGGTGACAGCTGGTGCATGAAAGTGCTGCGGTCGGGCTCGCTGATAGTATGCGCACAGCTGGGATGCATGACTGTGGTGGGGTCGGGCTTTTAGGTGGGTTGGGCTCGCAGGTAAGCCGGGCTTTAGGGTGATGTGCTGGCAGGTGGCGCATGGCTGTGCTGGCAGGTGGCACGTGGCTGTGCTGGCAGGTGGTGCATGGCTGTGCTGGCAGGTGGCACGTGGCTGTGCTGGCAGGTGGCACGTGGCTGTGCTGGCAGGTGGCACGTGGCTGTGCTGGCAGGTGGCACGTGGCTGTGCTGGCAGGTGGCACGTGGCTGTGCTGGCAGGTGGTGCGTGGCTGCACTGGCAGGTGGCACGTGGCTGCGCTGGCAGGTGGCACGTGGCTGCGCTGGCAGGTGGGACGTGGCTGTGCTGGCAGGTGGCACGTGGCTGTGCTGGCAGGTGGCACGTGGCTGTGCTGGCACGTGGCACATGGCTGTGCTGGGGCTGGGCTCGCAGGTGGGCTGGGCTGTACGGTGGGGTGGGAAGTGCGGGGTGCTTTGAAGGTGATGTGCTGACAGGGCTCCCTCGTGGGTTGGGTTGAGGTAAGTTGGGCTCTCAGGTGGGCTCTCAGGTGGGCTCTCAGGTGGGCTCTCAGGTGGGCTGCTTTCTTCTGCTTGCCTTTCTCTTCCTCCCCCCTCCCCACCTCCCTAGGTACAGGTGGCATGTGGCATGGCGGTGAGACCTCCTCCTGCCCCATATCCTTCTCTCCATATCCTTCCCTCCACATCCCTCCCCCCCACTGCTTCTCTTCCCTACATCCAACATTGCATATGATGTTACCTTACTCCTCCACTTCCTCTTCCTCTTCCTCTTCCTCTTCCTCTTCCTCTTCCTCGTCCTCTTCCTCTTCCTCTTCCTCTTCCTCTTCCTCTTCCTCTTCCTCGTCCTCTTCCTCTTCCTCTTCCTCTTCCTCTTCCTCTTCCTCTTCCTCTTCCTCTTCCTCCTCCTCCTCCTCCTCCTCCTCCTCCTCCTCCTCCTCCTCCTCCTCCTCCTCCTCCTCCTCCTCCTCCTCCTCCTCCTCCTCCTCCTCCTCTTCCTCCTCCTCTTCCTCCTCCTCCTCCTCCCCCTCCCCCCCTGCACCTCCCCCCTCACTCGTCCTCCATCCCAGGTGGCGTGTGACGTACCTTCGCCTCCATGGGCCCAATCCATTCAGCCTGCCTAGACGACCCCTTTTCCTCCACTCTCGTTCCATCTGCATCCCCCCTCCGTCCCCTTCTCCCGTCGCCCCGCTCTCCTTCTCCCATCGCCCCTCCCCCTCCTTCTCCCATCCCCGCTCCTCCTCCTCCTCCCATCCCAGGTGGCATGTGACGGTACCTTTGCCACCATGGGCCCTATAGTCATCAACAACTCAGCGCCTCATCAGCTGGGCTTCCTCACCAACTGCCACGTGGCAGGCTCGTCCCCAGAGGAGTCGGAGGGTCGGTGCCTGTACCACCCGCACTCCCCGAGCCACGGCCCCGGCGTGCCTGTCGGGGAGGTTCGGCGCGTCGTGTCGTTCCGAAGCGACTTTGAGTGGTTCGGCTTCTACATCAACCAAATGCCGGGTGAGAAAGAGCGGTGGGGGCGGTGGGGGCAGGGGGGGCAGGGGGGGGCAGGGGGGGGATGAGTGTTGAGGCGAGGGATTGGGCTTTGAGCCATTGGGCACGAGACTCCTGGGCTTTGACTGGTTCGGCTTCTGCACCAACCGGCAGGCGGGTGAGATATACAGTGGGCTTTGGGGGGCTTGTGGAGACACTTGGACTGGAAGTGGTTCGGCTTCTACTTTAACCATCAGCGGGGTGAGGGGTGGAATGAGTTGGGTGGAGGGAGGGAAACGGGAAGGGTTGGGTGAAAAGTGGGCCGGAAGGGAACACCGTGGTGGAAGGAGAGCAGGTGGGGGAAAGGGGGTTGGGGAGTTATCACCATGCAGACATTCGAGTGCGTGCAGAAGAAGCTTTTGAAGGCGTTGCCGTGCCATTCACCATGAGCAGATGACAGCACCGCTCTGGGGCCCATGGAGCCACTGCGAAGGTCTCCCCTCCATGCCTCCCGTTCCCCTCTTTTCCACCCCTCCTCCACCCACCATAGCGCCGATTAATGCTGTCGCTCCGCCCTCCCATCTCTTCCCTGTGCCAATGCAGACATTCGAGTGCGCGTGGATGGGGCATTCGCTGTCTTAGCCTCACCAGACCAGACCAGGTCACAGGGAGGTGTTTGGGTTGATGTCGATGTCTGAGTTATCACCTCCCTCGCTTCACCCTCCCTTGTTTCTCTTTCAACACTTGCAGACATTTGGACGGGGCATTTGGGCTCGTGGGCAGAGCTTTTGGGCTCTCTATTGAGCTAACCCTTCCCTTCCTCCCGTCCTCTCTTCCCCCCCACCGCTCATGCAGACGTTCGAGTGCGCGTGGACGGGGCATTCGCCGCCTTTGCCCCCAGCATCCGTGTGGATCAGATCACCATGCATGCGCGGGGCGTGCCTGGGGAGGTGGGGCCACTCTTGGAGATATCGCCCTTGTGGCCCGTCACTGCCCTCGTCTCACACCAGGTGAGTGAGCTTCCTGCATCAGGTAAACCCGGGCTTTGCACATCAGGTAAACTGGGTCCAGGGTGTGACAGCAAAGTGCAGGCCTGGGGGGTGGTATTTGGGCATCAGGTGGTATTTGGGCATCAGGTAGTAGTTGGCAACAGGTAGTGCTTGGGCAGCAGCTAGTGCTTGGGCTTCAGGTAGTGCTTGGGCTTCAGGTAGTACCTGGGCATCAGGCGACAGTGGTGCTGCAGCACAGCACTGACGGGGGGAGGCGGGGCTAGTGGGGGCACTGTTGGAGGTATCCCCATCGTATCCCCCTCCCCCCTGCACTACCTACCCTTCACCCCTTCCCCTTTCCCCTCGGCTGTTTCTCCCTCACCAGAAGGCCATCGTGGGGCGCAGCTGTGGGATGACCCTCGGCACCGTCGTGAAGGTGCCACGGAGGAGCATGGGTCTTCCATCAACTTGGTGTCTCCGTCTCTCCTCCCATCTCACCGTGACTTCTGAGTCGACTCAAGAGTCCGTCATGGCGTGTGCCACAGAGGATTATGGGTCTTCCATCAACATCAGCTCTGGGTCTCTGTCTCCCCCTCCATATCGCCTCCTCCCCTCTTCCCATTCCCCCATACCTTTCTCCGCCCCTCTTGGCCAACCCCCAGGTGGCCAAGGTGGGGCGCAGTGCAGCTGTGGGCACACTCTTCGCACGGGCATGGCTTGTGCCATGGAGGCACTTGTGTCCGAGCGCCTGCCAGCGACACGGCGTATTGCGCTGGCTCTGCTTCTGGCTTCCACTTCCCCGCTCCTGCCTTCCCCTCCCCTCTTCTTCCCTCACCCCCAGGTGGCCAAGGTGGGGCGCAGCTCAGGCCTTACCTGCGGCACGGTGATGGCGTATGCCATTGAATACTATGTGGACTGCAGGCGCGCATATGCCTCCGACCTCCTCATCCGCAGCAACAATGACGTGAGCCTCGCAGCGCCCCCCTCACCGTCCACTCCCTCTCCTTCGGAGAACACCCTTTGCTTCTGTCCTCCTCATCCGCAGCAGAAAGCAGGTCAGCTCGTCCTCCCTCGCCCTTTTCTCCCTCCGTCTCTCCGTCTTTTCTCCCTCCTTCCGTTTTTTCTCCCTCCTTCCGTTTTTTCTCCCTCCCTCCGCATTTTCTCTCTCCCTCCCTCTGCCTTTGCTCTCTCCCTCCCTCCGCCTTTTCTCTCTCCCTCCCTCCGCCTTTCTCTCCCTCCCTCCGTTATTTCTCCCTCCCTACCTCCCTCCACACATCCAACCCCCTTGCACAACCCCCCCGAGCCCCCCCAGCCCGTTACTTCCAATTGTCTGACCTGCCGCTTATTGTCTCACCCCGAACCCATCCCTTCCCCCCTCCACCTCCCCCCCCCCCACCCCTTGCGTCACCAGGCACCGCTTGACTTGAAGGTTGATGCGGGCAGCATGGTCTGTACTCTTGGCCTCGTATTCATTCCTCCTCTTCACCACCCACTCGCCCCCTCACCCACGGCCCACCCACCAGGCGCCCTTTGACCTGGAGGGCGATGCGGGCAGCACCGTCTACCTGCAGCAGGCAGTGGAGACAGGGAGCAGGAGGGTAGAGGAGGATAGCGGGCGGGGAGAAGCGCTGGGGAGTGGGAGAGCAGAGGAGAGGAGTGGGAGAGCAGAAGAGAGGAGTGGGAGAGCAGAGGATAGGAGGGGGAGAGCAGAGGAGAGGAGTGGGAGAGCAGGGGCAGCAGGAGAACCAGGAGCAGCAGGAGGAGCAGCAGGAGCAGCAGCAGGAGGAGGTAATGGTGAACCGTGGGGAGGTCAACAGCCAGCGATAGACGATGGGGAGGCACAAGATGAGACAGAAGGAGGGAGGAACGTGCAACGAGAGGCGGAAGGAGGGGCAGGCCTGCATGGGGCCAGGCGTGGGGGTGGAGAGGGTGGGGAGGAGGAGGGACTAGAGGATGGTCTTGTGGATGGATGCACTGGGGAAGGTGAAGGCAGCGGCGATGGTGGGGTTGGGGGTGGTGGGAATGGGGGTGGGGGTGATGGTGGTGGGGGGGGAGGTGTTAGAACGGGGAGACGGAGAGGAGGAGGGGGGGACAGAAGAGGAGAGATTCGGGGGATGAGGATTCGAGAGGAGGGAGTGGGAGCAGAGGCGGGAGCAGTGATGGGAGCAGGCGCTGCAGCGGGAGGGCACACAGCAGAACGGGAGGACCTGAGGCTGGGGGGAGGAGGAAGAGGAGGAAGAGGCAGCGGCAGCAGAGGAGATGCAGGAAGGGAAGGAGGCGCTGCACAGGATAGAAGCACGGGCGGCGAGTGGCGGCCGTTTGCGCTGGTATGGGGCGGCACGGGGCGGCACGGGAGGGTGACGAGGTGGAGTGGCAAGCAGCCCGAGCACTGGACCACCGCCGTGGATCTGCACCGCCTCATGGCGCACCTCCACGTCTCCCCCGCTCCTCCCCTCCCTCTCACGTCCATGGCTCCCCGGCACCTGCAGGCTGCACTCGGGAGGGGTATGGCTTCTGATGAGTAGCTCTGGAGAGGGTGCCTCGTGAAGTACTAGAGCACTGGACCATGGCTGTGGACTTCCACCGCCTCATGGCCCTCCTCCACGTCTCCCCAGCACTGCCACACCTCACCGTCTCCCGGGTGCCCACAGCCCATGCATGGCAGTTGAGGCGGTGAGGATTGAGGTGTTGAATGGGACTGGAGGGGCAGGGCTTTCATCGGGTAGCTCAGAGTACTGGACCACAACCATGGACCTGCACTGCCTCATGACCCACCTCTATTTCTCCCCTGCACCTTCAAATTCAACAGGTACCGTAGCTCGTGCTGGTCCTGGTGCTGGTGCTGGTGCTGGTGCTGGTGCTGGTGCTGGTGCTGGTGCTGGTGCTGGTGCTGGTGCTGGTGTTGGTGCTGGTGCTGGTGCTGGTGCTGCCACAGCTGCTGCTGCTGCTGCTGCTGCTGCTGCTGCTGCTGCTGTGGCTGCTGATAGTGGTGCTGATGGTAAGGGGTTTGAGGACAGGAAGTGCGTTGGTCCGGTGAATGTGTAGTGCAGCTTGGAAATGTTTGAACCTGGCAGCAGGGCTGACGTTTCAAAAAATAGCACCCTGAGCTGTCGAATGTGGAAAAAAATTTACCCTGAGGGCCAAGTGTTGGAATTTTGACTTCCCTGATTTCTCAGTGTTTTGGAACCTACAACCCTGAAATCTCCAGGGTTGGCTATCAACAATCAGGGTTGCATTGCACTTGAAAAATCAACTAGGAATGTACAGTTACTAGTTAAGTAAAAGCACCACTACGCCAGGCCAGTTTACAAGTCCTCTATCTAGTCTAGACTTCACAAGATTCCACGCCACTACCTACACTTGACTAAAATTCTGGGCCATCCATGTTCACTTCGTCTTCTGCCTCGTCATCGGACAGAAACGGGTTGTCTTCCACTTCAGGAGGAGCCTCTCCCCCCACTCCCCCCTCCCCCTCTCCCTCATCCTCTGCCCAATCCCCCATGTAGTCGAGGACTGCCTCCTCCTCCACCCTCACTTCTGCCCCCTCAATCGCCTTCGCCTTACGCTTCCTCTCCGCTGCGGCAAACAGAACAGACTTAGCAGGGCGCCTCAGCTTCTCGCGCCAACACTCAAGGGCCTCGTCCCAGTCAGTCTCGTACTGCAGCAGGGAAATGACCATCAGCTCGCTGAGGCGCGCATTGCACAACGCGCCCCGCACCCATGACTTGACGACGTTCTGCCGCGAGAAGCCTCGTTCACACTCCACTGTGCTCAGCGGCAGGACAGCGCACGCCTGCCACATGCGCATGAGGTTGGGCCAGCGACTGCCAAAAGGGTTGGGGGAATAGAGTACACGGAACAAGACCAGTGCATTAGCGATGCTAGTCAACAATCGATAAACAACATCCAAAGGGAAGAATAAAAGCGCAAAAAAAAAATGCAACAATCGTCCTTCGAGCAGCAATCTCTCACAAGGTCGACTCCGTCGAGCCGAAGTAGTTCGTCAGGCCTTGATGGAATCCCTCGTCGGCATGGTGGCTCAGCATCAGTGGCGCCCACGTGACCAGCTCCTTCTGCGCAGCTTGCAAGGAAAAGCATGTCAGCCTGTTGTCGAACAAGGCACTGCAGCCATGTAGGTACTCCTTCAGCTTCTTCTCTCTCTGCTGCTTCATCCGGGGCCACTTCGACACGCGGAAGAGCTTCGTCGGGCCGAGATTGTTCAGGTCCAGCATCCTCGTCTTCAGGAAGCTTATCGTGTCCTTCGCGAACTGCGCGCAGAGCCGCTCGCAATCGGGGTACTTGCTGCGGAAGGCATGCCCGTCGATCTGCTTCTCGTGCATGGTGTAGGTGTGCGTGACTGGGTTGCCGTCTTTGTCGATGCCCCGCACCTTTACGCGTTTGCCCCCTCCGCGCCCGTAGACCGCCAAGAAAGCCGAAAGCCACGTGCCTTCGACACCCCCACCGAACACCTCTCCGCACTCCAAGTAGCGGTGGCGGAGGTCCCCTGCCGCCTCGTCGATGTCCTTTGTCACTTCGGTGACATCGACCTGATGGAAGTGACAGACAAGGGAGTGGAGTCAGAGGGTGATTCCAAACGTGGATGCATGGGACAAAAACTACAACATTAACAGGGATAGAAGCTCACCTCCCTCTTCTGGAATTTGAGGTTGAGCTCATTCATCACTCCGAGCACGTTCGCCAGGAAAAAAAGACAGAACTGGAACTTGTAACAGATGACGACCTCATACAGCTCATGCCCGTACTCATAAAAGAGAATGATAGCGGCGCCAAGGACCTTACAGAGGCGCCTCACAGCCTCACCCCTTGAAAGCCAGCGCACGGTGTGAATTCCTTGCACTTCAAGGTTGGTGTTGTGTATTGCCCGCTGCAGGTACTTGAAGCGTTGACTCCAGACACAGGAACGTCCCAGAAGATCGGCCAGAGTCCGAATCACAAGGTCGACCATGTCGAAGTCTGGAGAAGCAGTGGCCGCGTCCTTCACCGCCAAGGCTTCCCTGCATGGTGCACACGAAGGAATTTTAGACAAGCAGTTGTAGGAACTCTAAGCGACTGAAATGACAAGCGGTTAAACCTGTGGGCGATGCAGTGCGACGAGACGAGGTGGGGGATGTGCTCGCGAAGTCGGGCGACGAGACCATTGTCTCGGCCGACCATGACAGAGGCGCCGTCGGTGCTCATGCCGGTGATTCGGGAGAGGTCGATGCCAGTTGCTCGCAAGTGAGCCAGAAGAACGGCGAGGAGAGACGCGGCATCGCACTTTTCGACGGTCAGGAGAGCAAAAAACTCTGTGACAACACGATGCGCACGCAAGAAGGTCAGATAAACAATAAGATGTTTACCGCGAGTACGGTCAGTGCTCTCGTCGCAGCTGATGCCGAGGTAGGGTGAGGCGAGAATGTATTGCATTTGTCGGCGCTGCAGGTAGGTTGCGAGGCTGCTGACGAGCTGACAGAAGCCATACCTGTAGTAGCAGAAGTGACAGCAGGGTGTTGGTTAGACCTTTATGGAAAATGAATAACATGGTGTACTTCGAATAAGTGCATTACCGTGTCAGGTAGACTCCGTAAGACTGCAGCGGAATGTCCGGTGTCTCCTGCTCGGCCATGAAGCGGAGTAGCCTGGGGTACATGCTGATGGGTGCATCACACTTGCACAGGAAGTCGACGCAGCGTAGGAGCCTCATGACATGCTTCCCCTCGATGTCAGTCCGCGCGTAATTCTCCATGCGTCTCTGGGTGCTGGCGATGTCTTCGGTGATCTCCATCTGACGCTTGACTGCTACTTCGTGGGCTGTCGTGTGTTCGTGGAACCGCATCGCTTGCGTCTGCAGGTCACGTGCCCCGTCGCGGCTGTTGGAGTACGGCGTTGTCTCTTTGCCGAAAGCCTTGCACACACTGCACTTCAAAGCAGGGTAACCGTCTTTCGTTTTCGTTAGCAGAAGCCAAGGGAAAAATGGAAGCCAGCTGGTCTTATACTTGTGCTCAGCCATGAGATACTTCTGCTCGATGAGTTCCTTCTTTGAGAGATTCGGCGGCTCGGGTTCTGGAATACCAGGGGCCTGAGGTTCAGGCGACGTGCGAGGCGGCGACCGTCGATGTAGCTTCCCGCCGAGGACTATCGTGCTCTGGGTGTACTTCCCGACGCGTGCTTTCTTCCCAGATGAAATCGTCGACGCACACTCGACCGTGTAACGCACGGTCGTGGCTGTCTCGCAGTCTGGAACCAAAGGGCCCCGGCTAGATGAGGCGACAGCGGGCGGAGGTACATAGGGAGCGGCGGGAGTAGATACGGGTTGTGATGGTGTAACGACTGCGGTGGGAGACCGCAAGATGTCTATAGCGGATCTACGGACCTCCACGGGGGGGTCCCTACCTAGTCCAGAACCATCATCGGCAGTGGGAGACTCACCAGAGTCTCCTACATCCGCCATGGCTAGAAGCGGCGGATATGATGGAAATGAGAAATCGGCGCGACGAAACTAGAGGAGACAGAAGACTGGAGCATCTCGTAGCTGTGACGTGAAGAACAGAAAAAAACTGGGTTGGAGGAGGAGCTGGTGAAGAAGACGGGAAGAGGACCAAGAAGCACCATCTTTCGATTTTCATGGATGGTGCATACCCCATCCAGGTTCCCGTACCGCCATGGCAATAACGTCAACGGCGAGACGCACCTGCGCTGGCATCGTCTGCACAGAGATGATTGGCGGGGTGATGTCATACAGAGGCTGACATTGCCGCGCTCATCATATTCTGTCCTCGTCTGCTGCGTGCTGAGTCACGAATGCCAGCTGACGGTTGCAAATGTTGCTGTAATGGCAACATACAGCGTGTTCACGGCGGGAACCTTGCCGAGTGCAGATTCCCCACGTGACGCATGCTGGGCGTGTTCAATGGACTGGACCCCGTCACGCGTAAGGGGGCCATTTCGAGGAAACTCAGGGTCCGCATGGATGTCGCATTCATGGTTCGTACGCGTTACTCCCTGAAAACTCAGTGTTGGGATAACGCAAACCCTGAAATTTTCAGTGTTCACAAACATACAACCCTGAAGCGGTTAGGGTTAAAAAAAACCCAACCCTGAAAATTAAGGGTTGGCCAAAAAAATACCCTGTGAAATCAGGGAATCAGGGTAAAATACCCTGATAACGACAACCCTGCCTGGCAGGCCCCATGTTAGCGTTTGTGGGCGATGAGTGCTCTTAGGGATAGTGTGCCCTCTGGGTATTGAAAGAATTTGAAAGGTGGTGCAGGACAGGGCCAGGGATTGGTTTAAAATGACCCTTACTAATCAGGGTACAGTGCCGTTTTTACCCTGGCCCTTGAGGTGAAATTTTCGGCAGCCTGTTAAAATCAGGGTGTTTTGGCTTAGAAAAAAAAAAACCCTGTTTGAGACAGGGTGTTTTTGCGGCTACCTTGTTGTGACTTGCAGAGTGCACTAGTCAAATAAACATATACTATTACACTAAGCTTCGAGTTGAATAATTAGAGTTAAACTAACCAGTCTACTTACCCCACGGGCGTCTAGGTAACCTACAATTTACTGCTGCTACTCTAGCATACTCTAGGCAATAGTCACTACACGCTATTGAAACAGCCACTACTGTAATCACTCTAGTCTAGCCTCTAGCTCGTCTTGCGCCGATGCCTCTTGAGCGTCAGGCTCCATGAACTCCCTTGCAGTAGGAGCAGCACCGGGCACATCGCGGATGGGGCGGCGAATCTTCTCACCTCGAAACCAAGCAACCACATCGAACCAATCAACCTCGTAGTCAAGGAGCGAGCACGTCATCAGGTGGCCCAGGCTGATGTCGCCGATGCTGCCGCCGGCCCAGGTCCTGATCAAGTTCTACTTCGAGAAGCCCCTCTCGAACTCGATTGTGCTGAGGGGGAGGACGGCCACAGCTTGCCACAGCAGCATGATGTTGGGGAAGGAGCGCTGCCAGTCGTCGTCACGGAGGGTGTTGCTGAGCGCCTGGTGAAAATCCTCCTTGAGGTGCTGCGACACCATTGTGGATGTAAACATCCACAGCTCCTCCAGAGCGCGGTTGTAGTCAATGTCAACTTATACATATTATCTATGTAGAAGTTATTGGCTAGACTAGGTGTGTGCTTCTAGTGAGTACAACCAACTGGTATTTGTTCGGTGTTACTCTTACTAGTCCATCA